AACTCAAGATCCAAACTAAAACAAGCTACTTGTGTTTGTTGTTCTTCGGTTGTGTCCAACTCTGTGACCCCTTTTAGGGTTTTCTTGGCAGAGATACTGGAGTGGTCTGCCACTTCCTTCTCCAGCTCATTTTACAGATAAGGAACTGAGGCAAACAGAGTCTTGCCCAGGGTCACACAGCTAGCAAGTGTCTGAGGCTGGATTTGAACTCAGGAAGTTGAGTCTTTCTGACCTAATGCCTAGCATTCTATCCACTGCACCACCTAATTTTTAAAGTGACAATTAGATTCTTCAATGAACACAACATAGTGGCAAGGTCATTGGGCTTGGAGTCTGAAGGCCTGAGTTAGAAACTGGCTCTGACATGTTATACCCATGTGACCTTGGGCAAGTCAGTTAATTTTTAAGGACCTCAGTTTCCTTATCTATAAAAAAGGGGTAATACTTGCACTCAGAGAGTTGTTTGAAGAAAGTTATTTAAAAGCCTTAAAATGGTATATAAATATTATTATTGTAAATATTAAAAAAATCTTGCCCAGTAATTTCATTTGCATAGTAAGCTCCCTGTTGTAGAAAGTCCTTCTGACTCACTTATAATTAAAGTCTTAGAAAGCTGGCTGGAGATATTGAAATTTCAAGTGACTTACCCATGGTCATATAGTGAGTGGGTGTCAGAAGCAGAGCTTGACCCCAGATTCTCATGATTCCCTCTATCCGCCAAACTATACTACCTATCAGTAATTTTTATTATTCCTGCTAAGACTAATCTCTCCAGGTCTCAGTTTCTTCATCAGTAAAATAAGGGACTGCCTAGATTGGAGGTGTTAAACACACAGGGACCACATGCCACCTACAATGCTCTCGAGTGTGGTAGGAACCCAAATAAAATGTAATTGGAAGTATTTAACAAAATAAATAAAAATGCAATAAAACATGTTAACATGTAGTTTTCTAAGTCAATATCTGACCTGCAGGGATTCTTACATATAGCTTAATGATGCCTTTTTCTATTTGGATTTTCTAAGGTACCTTCTAACTCCCAAACAAGTTGTGGTATATGATTGTGATGGAATACTACTGTATTATGATGAACTCAATGATCTTAGAAAAACATGGAAAGACTTATGTGAAATAATGAAGAGTGAAATGAGCAGGACCAAGAGAACATTGTATACAGTAAGAACAATTTTGTTTTAAGAACAACTGTGAGCGAATGAGTAATTTTGACTATTATTATATTAACTATAAAGGACATATGAAGAAAGATACTATCTGCATCTAGAGAAAGAACAGATAAATAGAAGTATGTATGGAATAATTTTATGTATACATACCTATTTGTGTCTAATGGTGGCCATCTCTATGGCAGGGAGTGAAGGAAAAATAGAAATTTGTATGATAACTTTATTATATATTTAAAAGGAATAGCAAGTTGTACATAATAGATTTGCAGTTTCATGTGCAATCATCTTTTTTTATTACAATGCTTGTTTTATTCCATAAATTAAAAATAAAATAAAATAAAAGAGAGTGGGAAAGTATTATAAGGCTATCTCAGGCAGCATATGCATATTTTAATAGTGGCCTTCTGGGGACATTGCTACTACTATTGCTACCTAAACCATTAGTGACTCTAATAGTAAGAATGTCAGGTCAAGTAGAATAATTAGATATGAAATGAAGGAGATATTTCTGAGCAGATGAGCTGGTGATTCTCAAATTACACCATGTTTACTTGTATAGTGCCAATACAAACCACTTTTAATCATCTTTGGGAAACAGTGTAGTGCTTTTAATGACTTTTAACCTTCTCCCTGAACTAAAAGTCTGTCTTCCTAATTTAAATATTCCTCTGGTGCTAATGCATGATTGTGTCCAGAAAAGGAGGTGATCTGGTCATCTAACAAGAGTGAGATTTAACTTTTGGACAGCTTTCATCCTTTACTGGTAGCTATAGAACGCCAAGAAGTTTCGAGGAAAGTCCCTGTGCATGTTGAATGGCCTCCTGGTACAGCATTTACTGGAGGACAAGAATGAAAGTGTTATAGAATGAGGTGTTAGTGAGTTTCAGTCCATAACCATTGGGTTCTAGGTAGCATAGGGGATAGAGTTCTGGGCTTGCAGTCAAGACCAGAGTTCAAATACAGCCTCAGACACTTACTAGCTTTGTGACTGTGGGCAATTCACTTAACCTCTGTCTGCCTCAGTTTCCTCATTTATAAAATGAAAGAGTTGGATTCGATGGCCTATAAGGTCCGTTGGAGCTCTAAATCTATGTTCCTGTGAGACAGAGGATAATAGACAGGATGGAGTTAAGCTTTGTGTTTTGTTTGGTTTTGGTTTTTTGAGGGCCTGCATGGATAAGATCACAAATTCATTGGAATATCAAAGAAGCCCGAGGGCAAAAAGCCTATTCCAAAAACAATTTCCTCTTGACAAGATTTCACTCATTATTATTCTGCTTCCTATATGCTAAATTCAATTTTTTTTCAGGGCCTTCATGGTACCTTGCAGATGCCCTTGAAGTATTGCTCAACATCCTTTTTCAGGGAGTAGATTGTGTCGGGGTAATGCAGCCTGGCTGACTGCAGGGGCCAGTGTTTGACAAGCTGTTGAAATCTTCCTTCTTGGCCTCTCCTGGAGAGAGGGAACAAGCAATTCAGTTTATGCTGAGAGCTGAACTCGGCCCCGACCAGCCCCTCCTGTGTATAAATTTGCAGAGTGATTTCCTTTTAGGAAATAAACACCAAGGCTAATGGATCTCATTGATAATTCATCTTGAATATAGAATCGCTGCCTAAGAGGATGAGGATAGAAAAGTGTCCTAATTTCTTCCTCTTCTTTTTTAGCCCAGGGAGTTAAGAATTTAATTTAGGGGAAGAGTCATGGCAGTAAAATCACAGGCCTGATTCAACCGTGGGTTAAACAAAATTATCGATGCCTTTTGGTTTTTCATATCACATTTCCAGATATCCTCTTCCTCCCCTCCACCTCCACACCCACCATAAGCCTCCCCTTGTGACAAAGAAAGGCAGACCAACACGGCTCCATGCTCCATGATGTGCACAACATCACATATCCACAATCCTCCATATCTCCAACTGGTCATCATAATTATGCCACATTCAATGTCTCAACATTGAGGTTTTAAATACTTCCAATCATATTTAGAAATGAAGAATAGGTGAAAAATAAGCTGGTTTTGTTTCTTAACTCCTCAACGATAGTTATTGTAAAGTGCTTAGCACAGTATCTGGTATGTAGTAAGTGCCATATACATGTTAACTATTATTATTATTAACTATAAATTCTGCCAGACAAGCTCAGGGGCTGGAAATAGGGAAGAGGCCGGACTGCTGGGCAAACACTTTAAAATATTATCTCATTTGATCCTCACAATAGACTGGGAAGGTATATGTTTACATAACATATAGATGTTATCCCTGTTTTACAGTTGAGAAAACTGAGGCAGAGAGAGGTAAAGTGACTTGCCCAGGATCACACAGCTGGTTAAGTGTCTGAGGTTGGATTTGAACTCAGGTCTCTCTGACTCCAGGCCCAGCTCTCCATCCACCATGCCACCAACTTGCCCCTAGGTCGGAGCAACTTGCTGGTAGTCTGGGTCTTGTCTTAGCTCAATATTTGACAGAAGCATTCAATATGTAAAGGGGAGAGTGATGGAAAGAATATAATTTTCAGCAGGGACCATGGTTCTTGTTTACTTGCTTACATGCTGAGTGAGTGGCAGAACCTTCTGATTTCATTCATTTTACTACCAGGTTGAATTCCGTTGGTGAGGATGGGCTAGTAAGGAAAAAAAAAACAACAACGAACCATGGGTATAAATCGGTATAAAATGGCCTTAGAAGTACCATACTGAATGAAGGCTCCTTTCTAGGTTTAGGACCACACACTAACAATTAGAGTTTTCCAACAATTAAATCTAACCCAGAGTAGAATGGGCTGCCTTGGAGGTAGAGGACTCCCTTTTCACTGGTGGTCTGCACTTAGAAGTTGGATGACCACTTATTGGGTATATTGTAGTAGGGATTATTTGGAGTGGGGTATGAGGTAGGCTAGATCACCACCAAGGTCCCAGCCAGCTCTGAAATTCTATAATTCTTCCTTCCACCCAGGAAGGTTGTCGATTTACTAAGGTCACCACATGTAATTTCATCAGGAAGAGTCCTGCTGCCACTGACACATTGTAACCTGATTTCAAGGGTTCCTGAAGCTTGAAAGTTCTCCCTCCTGCAGCAGGCCTATCAATGCTCCTTTCTGGATCCCACCATTTCTCCAGGGGCTGAAGTCAATGCTTACTTCACTCTTTAATTAGGCTCACTCTTTGGACTTCTTCACCTCTTTAATATCTACTGGACTCCAGCTCAGGTACCCTTCCTCTCTACTCCCTTCACTCCCTTTTATGTGTTGTCTTCCTGATAGAATGTAATCTCCTTGAGGGCAGGGACTGTGTTTGCTTGGTTTTATATCCCCAGCTGAGCATTATACCTGGCACATCATATAGGAAGTACTTAATAAATGCCTTTTCTTTCTTTCTCTCTCCCTTCCTTCCTTCCTTTCTTTTTCTTT